TGCTGGTAGCAGCGGTAGGTGTGGCTGGATAGTGTGTGGTGGTTCAGGGCATCCCAAACATTGGATAGTGTGTAGTGGTCCGGGGCAGGCCAAACATTGGTCTTCCGTGCAGTGTATCGCTGGCCGACAAGTGGGCGGCATGGCATCGTTGGTGGTACTGGCGGAGTCTGGCAGTGGAACTACGGAGGGGCAGCGCCCTGATGCGGCCTCAGGGGAAGGTTGTGGTGAACTGGGTGGAGTAGCTCATAGCCTCCAATGACTTTGCAGTGGTTCGGGAATTCCTGATGCTTGCTGGTCTTCTTGAGGAACAATGTTGGCGGACGAGTTCACTCTCGGCTGTGATTCCAGAAACATCTTAAGCTGCTTTTCACAAATGACCGCTCGGATGGTCTCGCGCAGGTCGTCTGTGCTAAAGGCTTGAACTTCAGCATATTTCGTGATCGCAGAGCGGCGGTTGTATTGCCTTGTTTTTATCTTGAGTGCCTTTTCTATTTTTGTGGCCTCCGTGTGGTATTCGTCGACATTCTTGGGCGGGTTCCGAACTAGTCTCGCAAAGAGCTCCAGCTTGACAGCACGCATGAGGAATCGGAGCTTCTTGTCCTCAGCCATCTCGGGGTCGGCGTGACGAAACAAGCAGGTCATATCTTCTATGTACATGCCGACATTTTCATTTAAAAGCTATGCACGGCTCTCCAATAAGGCTTCAGCTCTTTCCTTCCGGACGACACTTGTGAAGGTGTTCAGAAAGGTGGCACAAAAAAAGGTCCCATGTACGAAGTGTAGCTTCTTGGTTCTGGAACCATGTGCATGCTAAATTTCGCAGGGTGAAATAAACGTGCCGCAGCTTGTCATCGTCGGTCCAAGTGTTGAAAAGGGCAGCTCGGTCGAACCTTTCAAGCCAGCTTTCTGGATCTTTGAGTGGGGAACTGGGGAAAGTTGGCAGTTTCTTGGGTTGCTGGAGCAGGATCGATGCAGGCGGCACAGGCGCTGTCATTGTTTCCGTGGTCAACGTTAAGGTCTTGGTCGTCTGTGTCCCGTCAGGTAGAAGCCCGACATTGGTGGCAGACCTTGTTGCTTACGGCTAACTCGCTGCTCGTGTGTCTTCTCCGCAACGGGGGCTGGGCTCACAGCTTGAAGGGGGCGTTCAGTACATTAAAGAAGCAGCACCTCTACTAGATGCTATGGGGTCGTGATGTGGACGAAGGCAGCAGCCTCGATTTTCAGATGAAACTTTTTATTTGGCCGAACTTGTGGCCAGAAAACTGAGGTTCAGATTACAGCAACACAGGGGCACTAATAGCGACGAACAAGGCGTTGGCCGGCGATCAACTGACTAGTGGTGAAGCACGTCGGTACACATGCCGTTGAATATTCTAGCGTTATCGCTAACAACCACGTAGGTTCCAGAATAATCTATGATGTTCGCAAAGTGGGCTTAATCTTCACAAAATGATCTACTACAGCCTGGAAGCTTCTCGAACACTGTAGGCACAGTTTGCCCTGAACATAGTGTAACGGGGCGATAATAAACTTGAGGAATTGGCAATATGTGTGATTTTTGCAATTAAACAAGTGCAGCAGCTTCAGTGGCCTTAGCCGTATCTTCTATCTTGAAGCATGTAATACGTTATATGAAAATGAAAATACAGGTAGTGATACACCTGCTGCCCAACTTATGTGGATGATACACATTGCTAAATATAGTAACTATGATAGATAGAGCCCAGATCAGCTCTGTAGGTACAGAAAGTAATGATGGCGACTGTGCGCTGGTGGTGCCAAGCCTGAAGGAAAGAGTGTAGCTGGGTGGCCTTCCCTTAACAGTGAAGCTGTTAAAGCTTGCCTAGGTATGTGTGTGTGGCCTGCCAGTAAACTAATGTTATAAACGGATGTGTGCCACGCAAGTTTGACAAATCCCACTGCTCACCACTGGCCAACTAGAAGTGGAGATGGCCGCCCCAAAAATGACTGCGGAGTGATGGCAACTGGCCGAAGACCCTGAATACTGTCAGGTGGTCGTGACGTTCACAAAGGCAGAAAATCGCACATCTAAGATGAAACTCTTTATTTGGCCGAACTTGTGGTCGGGAGACGGAAAGTTAGACCAGAGCGAAACACACTGTACAATGATATCGGTGAACGTCAATAAAACTGGGCGTTGATAAAACTGACAGGCGGTGAATAATGTCGGCATTTATTCATGTGCCGTCGAATATTCCAGTTTTATTATTGGTCCTCGCACAAGCTTTAGAATAAGTTCGAGTGTTCGCATCTTGAGTGCAATCTTAACAGAGTGATCTGCAATAATCGCAAACCTTCTCGAACAATGTGGCGCAGTTTGCGCTAAGCATTCCTGACAGGCTTCGTGGGTGAAAACTGAATGAAACAAAAGTGAAAATAATAAATGCATGTGGCATTGTGCCCTCTTGAAAAAGCAACATCCTGATGTTTAAAACAGAACGCGGGGGAAAATGCATGCAATAAAAATAACAATAAAGCGAGAAAGTACACTGATGAATAAGTACATACAATAAAGCACAATAATAGACACACAACAACAAAGAATACAGTCCTTATGTTCATTAACGCACATGAAACAGCTCTAGGAACATGGCGTGAACGACTTAAGGTTGCGCAGGCCTCTGTTGAGAGTTGAAGAGTTTTTGATGCCATTGGGGACAACCTCGTAGTCGAGTGTTCTAAGATGTTGAACTAGCTTGTGTGGTTCAAAGTAACATCGCAGAATTTTTTCACTGAGTTTACATCAGCATATCGGTATCCACACCCAAACAAGGTCATTGAGCTGGTATTCCATCCACAAAGCGTCGTCAAAGATTGTAACGGCGGCGGTTGGTCGTTGGTTCTTGATCTGGAGGTGGGTGAGTTTTTGAGCTTCGGCGCACTGAGGTAGGCAGTCACGTTGATGTTTTCTTTGTCGCTGATCTTGGTAACATGGCGTCAAACGTAGTTGCCAGAGTCATTTGTAGACCAACCTGTACGGCATCATCTGTGTCGTTTCTTATGCGGCTGTATGCAAAGATCACATACACAAGGATGGAATCCCATGTCTTGTGCTTAACATCTATGTACATGGCCAGCATATCGGCGATGGTCTTGTTAAGACGCTCGGTGAGGCCATTGGTCTGTGCCTGGTCAACGGTGGTCCACTGGTGGCCTGTTTGGCTGTATTTAAAGATCGCCTGAGTTAGCTCCGCAGCAAAGGCGTACCTCTGTTGATTATGAAAACCTCTGGGGCACAATGGCACAGGATGGTGTTTTAATCAAAGAACTTTGCCACCTCAGCAGCATTGCCTTTGGGCAAAGCCCTTGTCCCAACATAGCGAGTGAGGTAGTCTGTACCTACAACGATTCATTTGCTCACTGAATTCGACATCCGGAACGATCCCAGTAAGTCCATGCCAATTTGCTGGAACAGCCAGCGTGGTGGCTCGATGGGTTGCAAAGATCCACCTGGTCTAGTTGGCGTTGCTTAACATCGCTGATAGTCTCGGCAGGTGTTTACGTGATGGGTAACCTCAGCGGTAAGGCGTGGCCAATAGTACTTTTTGTGTATCCTCGCAAACGTGCAAGAAAAACAAAGGTGGCCATCCATAGGGTTGTCGCGGAGGGCCTGTAAGACTTATGGTCACAATGCTGAAGGCACTACAAGAAGGTAATTGGCTAGAAGCGGCAAGACGTTCTTCCTTTGAAAAACGCTGTCTTGCAGGAAAAAAGATGCAGGTGCCCGCTTGAATACCTTCGAAACAGTGTAGGTCATGCCCTCAAGGTATTAGGCCTCTAAGTTCCTGGTCCGTTCGCTGTCGCTCGACGAAGCACGTCAGGATTTATACATGTGCCGTCGAATATTCCAGCCTTATCACTGGTCGTTGTGCAAGCTCTGCAATAAGCTGGAATGTTTGCGTCTTGCGCACAATTTTAACAGAACGATCTACAATAATCGCGAACCTTCTCCAACAATGAGGTGCAGTTTGTGCTGAGCATTCCTGACAGGTTTTGTGGGCGAAAATCGAAGAAACAAGAGGGAAAATAAGAAAAGAGCGAAACAGTGAGCGAATGCTAGGGAACAGGAAAGGCTGCAAAGAAGACCCTGAAGTGAAAGGCCCATATCAACAACAGTGTGAACGCTAGTCTTCAGTGTGGGTTTCTTTCTCTGGAGTTAGGACACCCGTGTCGTGTCTGGGATTGTCTCTGATTTAACTGGAACCTCTCTGCACTCGGAATCAACGTAGGAACACCTTGGCATCTTTAAGCTAAAGCCAAGCTATGACCTATAAGAAACCTAGAAGCAGCCTGCATAACCTAGCTAAGGCTTAGAAATGACCTAGAAGCAACGAGATTAGTATTAATAATCACCCAGTTTCACTATTCAAGCCATGAACAGCTTAGTGCAAGCTTTACGATTCTTTTTTCATATATCTGTCTCGGTTTCTTGTGTTTTTCTGTATGTTTCTTTGTCTTTCTTTTTTTGTCTATTGCTTTCTCTTTCTTGCCCTTTCTATTTATTTTTTCTTCCCTTTGTTTTTCTTTCTTTTTATTTCTCTGTTTCTCTCTTACTCTACATTTTTTCTCTTTTTTGTGTCTTTTTCTTTCTTTTAAGGAAGAAATAAGGTGCAAACAAGACTAACACAAGAATAGACATGGACTAACAACTTGTTTCATTTGTCTAGTAACTTTTCGTCTTGTTTGCACCCTATTCATTCCCTAAAGCATGCACCAACTAGCCCAACAAAATATTCTACATGAATATCTTTCTTTCTCTTTTTCTCACTTGCTCTCTTCAGTTCTATTTTCTTATTTCTTTCTCTCTCTGAGACACTCAGAGTTGCTGTATACTGTAGTGGGGCTTGCCCGATTTCTCTGGTGCTTATCCTTTTGAGCAGTTTTCTGGTAACAGTGCACAACTTCATGCAGCCAGTTGCAGGTGTTTTTGATTTAATAGCCATGCTGTGCGAGTGTGTGACTACTTGCATCATATGCAGGAACCCAACAAGCACTCAAGTATGCATCCCTGGTGACTCTGACGGTTCAGAATGCGGCCCTTAATTTAACCATGCGCATGGCTCGCACACAGAAAGACCTTTTCATAGCCAGCACAGCTGTTGTAATGGCAGAGGTGATAAAGCTGGCAACATGCCTCATCATGGTACGTGTGGACGAAGGAAGCTTCCAAAAGTGGCACTCTTCTATTCACCGCATTGTAGTGTTGCAGCCCTGGGACACACTCAAGGCAAGTGTATTGTTTTATTTTTTTTTGCTGAATTCTATGATTGGTTAATTTCTCCTCTTGTGGTGATGCCTTGAACATGGAAGTAACAAAACAAAACTTCATTAGGGGATGGATATTGAGTGAATACATTGTTGAATTTCTCATTGGGTTTGAAAAATTAACTGCCATCTCATAAAAATCTAACAGGAGAGTCAACGTTCATGCACAGTTAGAAAGCACTAAGCATTTAGAATAATCTTGTATAGTAAGGGGAGTCGCTAGGCAGTTGCACACCGAGCATAAAATGGCAGTCGACTGCACCTACCAGCCCTGTGCCCACTACTAATAAAATTTCGGCCATGTGGAACACCTTTGTATCTGGACACAATAAATTAGCTATCGAAATAGGCTATGCTGCATAGATAGCTTTGAAGAACCCTGCATATGGACACAATGAATTAGCTATCGAACTAGGATATGCGGCATAGATAGCTAATGAAGACTTGAAGACCTCTGTTCAAAGTGCTTTATGTAGCCAGTGAGTCATTTTAGTACTTTGTGCCTTGTTTTGTAAGTTTGATTATTTGTGATAATTGTGGTTGGTGTGGTTTCTAACACCATGCAAAGCTTTTTTACCACCACAAGGAATAAAATTTTTCTAATGCAGTAGCTGACTTATGTTGGGGTAGCATTCCAGTGCTGAATGAAAAAGTGCTCCTGCTTTTTGATACAGGCTGTTAAATTCTATCTGATATAGCATATCTCATGGCTCAAATATTGATCTAAACAGAATAATCATGCTTTAATGAATGTATGTAGACATCTTCTGCCCATTTTTGGGGCTACTTTGCGTGTTCGCTCTTGACAGGGTGGTGCCATCCCATTTGATGCTAGGGTCGAACCCCACTACAACGAAATTGAAGGGGGCGCAGAAAAAATTTCGTTAAAGCAAGAATTTCGTTGTAGTGAAATCGAGAAAATATAGCCGATATGAACTAGCAAAACAAAGGAACCTTTATTCTCAAAATTCAAGAAGTGCCCGCTGCTTTTTATTCCATGCCAGCGGCGTCACGACGCGATTCTCACCCATGCATAGCGAGGCCAATGTGAAAAGCACGCTGAAAAAATGACTACAACCGCTTTCGTGAACGAACTAAACAGTTGCATTAACTCGTTAACACCAACAGCTGTCCGTCGTCAAAACGCCGAGATGGCAGCAGGGTATCATGGAGCAGTGACTTTTGCCTTATTTTATGCCATTCTTATCAACCATCACTCGCGGCTAGCTGATTTTGTTGATAATGCGAGCGAACAGCTGCTCTGATTAGTTACCACACTGGTCAAGCGCGAACAAAATTATAAGCATTGGAATTGGAAAAGGCATCGTTCCACGGTTCGTGCCGAGTAGCTTTGGATCGTCTGCGGCTATACAGTAAACCAAATTTTTAACACTTTGATGCATTTTCAGAAATTGAAAACACGTCGACGAAGTCTGAAACACGCGTTGACACCACCAGAAACCAGCGCTGTTAAGCAAGCATGGGCACCGCCATTGGTTGATAGCGATGACGATGAGACTGCTCTGACAAAAGCAATACTTCATTGACGTATTTTCAGGTCCTGAAAATGCATCAAAATGTTAAAGATTAGGTTTACTGTATAGCAATAATCTGAGCCTGGAATCGCATCGTGAAATTTTGTTGAAGCGGGACGGCAGTAAAAGAAGTGTTCATTGTGGTGAAATATTTATGCATCAACTCCTATGGACTGCTGACGGGGAACCGTAAATTTTTCGTTGTAGCGGGAATTTCGTTTTCGTTGAAGTGGCGTTCGTTGTAGCGGCATTCAACTGTATAACAAGCCTCTTGTGGCTTTCCTCTGCATGCAAGGACACTCTACATGAAGGGTCGGACTTAGGGAATATTTAGAATATATTTTAATTCACTTCCAAACTGTCCACAAATGCTCATTCTCCCGATCGAGGCCCATCGCTTGCGCATCCAGCAGTGATCTAGCTCTGTAGGAAAGGCAGTGAGAGTTGTAGTGACGTAACACCAGATCTGTAATGAGGTGAGTGACCTTCAGACTTTCACCACATATGTATGGGCAAAGCATTGTAGCTGCTGCAGCTATCAACATATTTGTTTATGAGGTGCCTGTGTTGCTCGCACATGTGCAAGAGCAGACGATACTCTGCACGACATGCGCCACAGCTTTGTATGGTCTTTTGACCAAGCCACCTACACTTCTGCGTCACTGCCCAGATCGGCAACCGAAACCGAAAATTGTCAACAGAATTAGGACATTAAATTATCTAGCGACAATAGAAATATCTTGATGCATGTATCATGCATGTATTATGTTTTGTTATGAGTAAGGAGACGGCAGGGATGACGAAGACCATAAAGTTGGAGAAGAAACACATGGAAGAGGCATGAGCGCGTGTATAGAGGAGTACACGGCTCCATGCTAGTGACACGAGCTATAATGAAAGATGGCAGTGAGATGAGCTGGCCTTGTTTGCTTGGCTAGGGGAGAAGATTGCGTAAGAACTTACACTTTATTGATAGGCACAGTGGGTGTTTGGTTGTAAAGGCCGTGATGCTGGTACTCCGTGGCATAGCCATTGAGTTCGACGATGCTCGGGTGATGCTTCTCGGAGGCGCTGCAAAATTTTGCCGCCGTTCTGGCCATATATGCAGCAGTCTCCATTCGAATGTTGCCCAGCAGCAATTTCCGTGTCGTCACGTTGTCACTTCGAGGAAGGAGGCCGGGATTGTAGTAAGCCTAACTGACGACGACGACGTGCCACGTCACCGACAGCAACCGACAAAAAAAGGCTTATGGCAGCGTGACTGACCCTAATGCATCGGAGCGACAATTGAAAAGGATCGTCGGCAGCATCCACCGTGGACTCAACACAGCATGAGTTGGACTTACGGCCATTGATCGAACAAGTAAGAGTATTCCATTCAGACTACGATCCGACGGTGAGGCCCAAGTGGCCAGACTTCAATTAATCATTCCAGTTGAATTTAGAGATGACTGATGATCGTGTTGCTAGTTTATTTTCAAATAGTTGTGTAGTGCATTTTATGTGGGGTTCTGGCTGTCGTGTTTTATTGAGATTTCAGTTCTTCTTCTTTTTTTGTTATTAAACTATGCTTGTTGTGCCGCCCAACGTCCTTTCAGTTCGTCGCCATGAGCACACTCCTCAGAGATCTGTGACAAAACAGCTAGCAAGCCTGTGCCAGGATCAGAAACTTCTGGGATCTGGAGATTCTACGATCACTTTTTTTCTTCCTAGTCACCGGTACTCGTGGAGTGCAGAGCTGGATTGGGAACGCTTGACATCGGTAGCTGAAGATGTAGGAATGACTAAGGAGGAGACTTCGAAGTTTTTGAAAATTCTCCTAGAGAACTGGATAAGCAGGAAGCACTGAAGGAGAGAGAACACTAGTATGAAAGAGAGAAAAAAGAGCGCAAGTTTGAATGCGAAAAAGAGCTTCTCAAGCTAAAGTTGAGAATAGCACAACTAAATGGGATTTCGCAAAATGGCAGAGTGTTACATCAGTATTCTCTGGTTCATAGTCGCCTAAACCACCCACATATGCCCGAGAAAGTTCATAGCTCCATTTGATGAAAGTCGGGATGACATGGATGCCTATTTGCATAGATTTGAAATAATTGTGTGGGTCATAGATGGGAAAGAACAGAGTGAGCAACGCCACTCAGTTGGTGTCTTGTTGGGGAAGCTTTAAGTGTTTTTGGCAGAATACCCGCAGATAAATTTATGGATTATGATAAGGCCAAGAAAACAATGTTACAAAGATTTTGGTTGATAGTAGAAGATCAGGAGCAGTTTCAGGGGTGCAAGCCAAAGAATGCAGCGACGGCGAAGCAGTTTGTGTGTTGCTTGTTAAAATATTTTTGAAAGATGGATGGCGGTGGCGAATGTCGAAAAAAAACTTAGGAAGGCGTGTGTGATCATATGGCTTTAGAGCGATTCTTGAATTGCTGTATTGGCAAGTTTAGTGTTTTTCTAAAAGAATGAAAGGTAGCCTCACTTGATGACGTAGCAAAACGTGCCGATTAGTATTTGGAAGCTTAGAAACTTAGAAATTTGGGGAAGGGAAATGAAGATGGTGCCAGAGCAAAACCAAATGAGACGAGTAGATTTCAGGGGGTACCTAACACGTCACGCAGACCACTCAAGGTTTTTCTGTGCAACCGCATTGGGCACCAAGCTATGAACTGTCAAACTGGAGATGCCATTCACATACACAAGTAGTGTGGCAGCAGTGCAATGGCAGAGGACACCATGCAAATGAGATGTAAGTCAGGGACTACAGACAAAGTAGCCTGCATAGTGGACTCCCTGGGTGGTAAAACGAAAGACTTTAATGCTACTAACAAAGTAGCATTTATAGTGGACTCGCGCAGTGATATTGTAAAAAAAGGGCAGCAGGTCCCCCCTAAAAAAAAAAAAGAGTCAATAAAGGAAATTAAGCTTTACTCACAAGGAGATTGTTCACTATTGGTAGACGGAGAGGTGCATGGACAGAAGTTGAAAGTTATCAGAAATGTAAGCAGGGCACAAAATTGTTTTCGTGAATAGGAGCCTAGTGGATGAATCAAATCTTACAGGCAAGTACACAACAGTAATTTTTGTAGATAGTTCGATAAGAAGGCTTCTAGAAGCTCGCATTAAAGTGGCAGGTTCATATTACACTGGTTGTTTGAAAGAAATGTACTTGGAGAAGGCTATGTTCGACCTGATATGGGATTATGTGCCAAGAATGAGCAAAGTAGATGAGCCTGATACGAACTGGGAAAAAAATCGAGGATGCGGTTAGGGAATGCAATGTACTCATTGGCAGAGCAATGAAGCGAAAGGAGTGCAGTGAAAAGGAATCATGCCGGAAAGTTTATGAGAAATGCAGCCACCAGTAGCTGGAGTAGCGTTGCTAGTAATGATGACAGCGGCAATAAAAAGAGAAGCAGAGGCCACAAGCGGTTGACCACGATGATGTTCTGGCGAGGATTCTCGAAGGCACTGCAGCATCTTGCCGCAGTGCCGGACATATCTCCAGCAGTGGCCCATCGAACGTCAGCCAGTAGCAATCCCTGGACTATCATGTCGTTGCTTCGAGAAAGAAGGCCAGGACCGTAGCAGGCCTAACTGACGCCGACGCCGATGAGTTGCAACTGAGAAAAGGCTTACAGCAGCGTGGCTGACCATGATGCATCTGAGCAGCAATTGAAGAGGATCGTCGGCAGCATTGACCGTGGACCCAACACAATACAAGTTGAACTTATGGCGATTTGTGGAACAAGTAAGAGTGTTCCATTCAGACTTTGATCTGACAGCAAGGCCTAAGTGGCCAGACTTTAGTTGAGTATAGAATGAAACAACTTTATTTTAGTCCTGCAGGACGTGCTTAGCACGTAGCGGGCGTCTCCCACGTTGGGGAGACACCGGCCCATTGTTGGTTGGCGAGAAGTGAACTCCTGAGGGACCTCTCCCACTTGTTTGAGGTAGAGTCGGGAGGAGGTTTTCTAAATTCCCAGAGCATGTGTGCGAGGGCCGCCATATTTTAGCTGGATTTAGAAATCACTGATGATCTTGTTAGTGTATTTTTGTATAGTCGTGTAGTAGGGTTTCGTTTAGGTTTTCTTCTAGTTTTTATCTTATGTTTAGGTTTTCTTCTAGTTTTTATCTTAGTTATTGTTAAACCATGTTAGTTATGCCACCCAGTATCCTCTCAGTTCATCGCCTTTAACACTCGCCTCAGAAATCTGTGACATGCTTCTTAGAGCTATAAAAAACGCTTGCAGTGAAGAACGTGCTAGCCATGAACATGGTGGCACCACCCCTTTAAGTTGCTCAGATTACTCCTAAGTGTTTATGCTTTGCGAGCACTTTTGTTAAAGACAGCAGCAGCTTTTGTCTGCTATTTTTTGCGACTTTTCTTGTCTTTTGATTTTAGGTAGCTGTGCCATCATTGGTGTACAACATCCAGAACAACCTGCTTTATGTTGGGGCCACCCATTTGGATGCAGCCACGTGTCAGGTGAGACATCATCACACTTCATACTGCTGGCATCAAATGAAATGCGAACGGCAGCCCTGCGTGATTCCTTTACAGTATATTTTTGCTTCTGTTGTAGTTTTGATATTCGCGACAAAGGCTGACACGTCGCCTTAGAAGATGACCAAAGTTACTAGACAATTTCAGCTGTCAAACCCCGCCACCGCACCCGACCCCTTTCTGTCGCGCCCGCAAAGTGGCGCGCTCAGCGCTGTCGGCCCGAGGGTGAGCGGTGTGGACAGTCCTGGTACAAGCAGCGGGCAAAGGCGCCGAAGCGTGCGCTTTTTTATCACTTTGGTTTTCTATGCGCCAGGATAATGCCGCGGGCTTTGTGATAAAAAATGATACCAACCTCCGCTAACAGAGACCATGAGGCGATGCGAAGCAGCATCGACGGTGTACACCACGTTTGCATAGGTTTGACTGGGTGTTTACGTTAATGTTTGGTCTAATGTTGCATATTTAGTGTTATGGCCATATTCGGCATTGCCGCGACAGGTTGGCCACGTTCAAGTAGCCCGCCGCAATCATCGTGGCAAGAGCACCAGCAAGACCCGGCTGGCATGCGCCACGGGTTCGTGCGCTTGGCCTACGGGGAAGAGGAAGATAGTTGAATTTGTGCCACTCGGCTACTCGGACTCGACGACCATAGTCATTAGACACGTGGGCACAAGTTCGCCCTAATAAAGACGCTTGTTTTTTAGCCTGTCTGCCTCAGCATCACTGCAGTATTATTCAGTGGCGTCGACACCGTTGAAGCCCCGGCGTTGAAGTTGTCTAACGAGGGGTTCTGCAGGGTCGTTGGACTTGTGTCGTCTGTCTGCAGTCGACACATGGGCTCGATGCTGGCGTTTAGCTTCGACGTCATGGTTGCGTATGGCAGAGTTTGCTTGCCGACGCTGCCATTGCTTTTTGGCATGTCGAGCCCACGTTTTATCTGTACCAGTTTTCTGCCGACGTTGCCATTTGCGCTGGGTTTCCCTAGATCGGAGCTCGGGGTTCGCCTACCGACGTTTATGTTGTGCTTTGGCGCGTCGAGCCTTCCGCTCCTCCACCCGCAGCTCCGCGATCTCAACAGGCATTTAATGCTGAGAGCTAGAGTGTAAGACGGAGAGGCCACAGCTTCTTAACACAGTCATTTACGCAGGTCCGAATGCACTAGCAAGTTCCAGCACATTCCGACATGGCGTTGATTCATCGTGCATCTGTACAATCTTATACCCCGACACCATCACGCATTTGCTGAGAGAGTTTTATGGGGTGAGGTTTTAAGTGAGGCCACAGCGTCTTCCCTATCTCCTTACACAAGCTGGACGTGCTAGCGCGCTCTGGCTGTGCTTTGGCCAGCTGTTGCGTATGCACAGTAGGGGTAGTCACGCCGCACATGGAATTGAACCTCTCTCTAAGATCTTCGCGTCAAATATGCCTCGATGTTTTGCAGGTGCGTAGTAGGAAATTGGGGGAGGGGGCACCCTCTTGAAATGGTCATTTTAAGCTTTCTATGCCATGGCAAAAAGAAATTTTGGGGGAAGGGGGAGGGCACGGGCCTAGTGTGCGAGCCCCCGGCTATGCCCTTGGTGTTTTGTGACCAGCTGCAGGAGTGGCTATGACTCAGCGCAATCTTCGAGTGAGAAGAGGAATTTTTTCAGGCTGTCTCTGAAAGAAAACGCTGTATGTCTCTTTCCCAGTTGTTTGAAATATTTATCGAATTCCTCAAAGAAGCGCAAGCTTCCCGTTGTGCAGCTAGCCCTTGACGTTAAACGCTGTAACAATTGTAATGGAGGTAAAAATAAAAGCGCAGTGCCCAAATATTCTGACTATGGTAACAAGTGTGCTCCACAGATGACGCGGTTGCCATCAAAAGCCCTGCATCGCTCTTTAACAGGCTTTCGACCATCGCTAAAGCGCAGAAGAGTGTAAGACAGAAAGAAAGAGTGCGGAGACATAATCTGAAAGGTTTCAGATGATCTAGAACGGTTCTGTCTCCTTCTTGGCTGCGCAGACCATTTGCTCGCATTCACGCATGAAGTGAATTTTTCCATTGTTATGCGAATGTGTTTTCACGTGAGGGATACAAATTTTGGACTAAAAAACTGTAGCGGCCGTACGATTTCAGTGCTAACCATTGGACTGTGACCTTTCACTATTCAGCCCGTAACTGCTGTCCTTCTTTAAAAGCTCCGCAATCTAGGGTGGGAGCCTTTGTAGCGGAAGCTGCTAAGCACCACCGCATTCTTTTCTATCCCGTCTGCAGCCGGCCGTCGACAGCGCGCCTACTCGCGGCGCCAGCTCCTCCTCCTCCGTGTTCGGGGAACAACGTGTTGTCGGGGCCGGCTCCGGGGATTAGACCGGCTGCATGCTACGTCTGCTCGCTCGGTGGCCCCCTTTTCCTCTTTCTTGTAGAAGAACGCGGGGGTGCCTCATTCTCTCCCTCGTCGAGGGGAGCTCTCGTCACTCGCACGGAGTGGAAATAAACAGTCTTGCCCTGCAACTCCAAACCTGCTTCACGTCTCCTTTCTCGCTGCCTCCGGCAGCCGACATTTCCGGCCGCTACAAAACAATCACAGGGTAGCTATAGCAAACAAGAAAGCACATATTTTATGAATACTGCCAAACACGCTTTTGTATCTTTATGTCACCGGCCCGTTGTAATGGTACATAAAACAATATACCTCGCATAAGAAGCCTCAGTGTCCTATTCATTCACGGATTAGCTGTTTTTTTACAGAGTTCGCAAAGCAAGAAAGATATTCCTTGAATACTTAGTGCTAAGAAGAGCAGTGCAACATAAGAGAATAAGATAAAGAGAAGAGACATATGTACGGCAGCGTTCTGCTGCCTCGCAAAGCTCCCATAGCAACCGGGTCGATAGAGGCGGCACTGTCACCTCATGAGATGAGATGGGAGAGGGCCACAAGTACACTGCTCAAACAGAAAGAAAGATGCACGAGACGAGCACAAACTGTCACAATTTTTTCTTTGTGTGTGAGCAGCATGCTGCTTTCTTAAATGCCGCTGAGGCAGCGATCAAAGTGACCTTCGTGCTCTGTTTAACCATTATAACTAAGCAAACTTGCGATGGAAGCACGAGAGGTAGAAAGCACACGAATGCGGTATGTGCACGAGCTCATGATCGACCACGCCTTGTAGAGGCACACATGCATTGCAACGCATAGTGTGACGACCTTGAGAACTTTGCGTTATCTTTCTACTGATGACGAAAACACGCTCAAGTTTCTGACCTTTTGAGGTTCATTAATGCATGGGTGGAAGTACTGTGCCGACTGCGCCATACTGTGCCAATTTGAACTTCTGTGCCAGGCTGTGCATAAATGGCAGTTTCTGTGATAATTATCGATCGGAAAAGTAAAACGCCCAATTCAGCCGATTATTATCTTTGACTGAGCACTGGCTCAGTCCTCGGCCGCATTCGCTGGAGTTGGATCACATTGTAAAGTGGTTAGTTTGTGGGGCTCGCACTGTTGTTATCGCCGTAGTTTTCCTGCAAAATTGGTGGCACCAACATGAGTAACTGTTAATTATTTAGTAATACAGTGAAGCCTTGATGATTTGTACCAGCCGGGCACGATCATGCACAGTGTGCATTTACAAGTGCAAATGTGCATCTTATGACCTGCCCGATCGTGACCAATAAACAAGTGCACAGCAGATGTCACCCAGAGTACATTCCAGAAAGTCTTCCTTTTTGCCAGAGTGCAGGAAAGATCATACGTGGCTGGCAATCTCGCACGATTTTTTTTTTATTGCGCGCAGTGGCGACACATTTCGAAACTATAAGTCGGGGATACGCAGCAACTGAAGTAGCAACAGAGCAGACATGTCTACTTTCTGCGATATATTGTGCATTTTTCTACCATGATATGAGACTTTGTGACAAGTGAGTTTCATTGAGACACGAAGTGGTCGCAAGAACTCGCATCATCTCATGAATAGTTTTGTGCAGCGTGGCACCTATGTTGCCTAGACCGTCGCTTCAGGACGGCTCGCTGTACAGTGCGCGCGGATTTGCTGTGTGAATTTCTCGTCCCTATTTTGTTCCAGACCGAGCACAGATGAGCAGAGTAGTGTTTAATTAGCGTCCAGATGACAAATTTGCACTAAGAAAAGTGCACAGTGATTATCCATACTCCGTTTCACACATAAGGTGCAACACAGTGGTGGCGAGCGAAACTTTGTAGTAGGTACGTTTGCTTAAAGAAATAATTCCATGCTTTTAACACCCAGAATATATTTTTCTTTTTGTTTCAGGCTGAGTATAATATGGGCATGTTTTGTAACAGACACGTACACACACACACACTCATGCACACATGTGCACGCAGGTGGTAAGTCGGGTAAACTCATTGGTACTGAATGTTTAGGGAAAACAATTGGAATTTTTTTTACCAGAAATAATTGATTGACAATTACGTTTCACCCTAAATAGCTGCTCCAAAGCTAACTCACGTTGCTCCAAAATGCACTTTTTGGTGCTCCAAACGTGCTCCAAAACTCCCCTTTTACTGCACCAAAGCTACTCAAAAACAGCGTTATTCCTGCTCCCTGAGCTGCTCCGAAACACTGACTTCCACTTCCATTCCTTCTAATGGAATATAATGTATATAAATAGCTCGCCGATAGGAAGGTGGACAACGTATTCTTCATGGCCTAGTGGTTTCACGCCGCGCGCTGTGGAGCGAGAAGGCATAAGTTCGCTCTATGGTTGCAAAATTTTTTTATTTAGTTTTTTTGTTTGCAATCTGTTAGTATATCATATTTACTCAGATAATCTGCACAATTTTCTCTCAAATTTAAAGCTTTGAAAAAGAGGTGTGCAAATTATGCTGACATTTCAGGGTCACATCTGAAATAACGTGCAGTAGCATATAGTTTTTATGCGCACGGTGTATACATTTAAAAAAAGTCTCAGCATATCCACGAAGTGACTGATGTTGAGTGGCTGAAGCAGTGGCATTGTTCGG